ATAAATATAAAGTCCTGTGCAAAGGGAAAACCTAAGTTTACCTAACAATGACAATTTCTGGACTTGCTGCTAACTGCAGGAAATGAAATCTACAGTCAAAGTTCTCTAAAAACATCAATTCACTGCTAAACAGTAATTTGCAAAAATGAACATATTGCATAAATCCCTGGTGACCCTTATCCTTTGATTTCTGTGGGCTCTCCAGGTTTCCTCATCTAAAGATGGAGATAAAATTAAAAAGAAAGGCATGAAGAGAGTCACTGAAGACAAAATTTGGGTCTTTTGGGCCAGGAGGGCCATGGTTGCTGTTGCATGTAGGAAACACACACACTAGCAAAGTCAAAATTTCAGACAAACACTTATCATAAAACTCATCCACTTTATTTTAAACTAATTAATCTACCTAGTCATTCATATCCTGCATTACAGCTATGCCCAACTACAATTTTTGGCATATCAAGCCAGGGAACCAAAAGGAGAAATACACTATTTCTGTGTTTCCCAAGGTTTTGAGGCATTCAAAAGAATGACAAAATCACTGCCTGTGCTGAAAGCTTGTGTTGTGACATAACACTACCTATTGTTTATTTTTACTTGAGACACAGCAAGAGGTAAAACAAACAAGGAGCAGAAAAGGAAGGCAGAAGCAATATTAAGAAATACAGAAAGTCAGGTGCTCTAATTGTCCTCCCTCCTGTGCCAGTGCAGATCAGGAGTGCTGTCATTCACAAGGTTTCAACAAAATTACATTCAGCATGGAATAAAGGAGAATTCACATGGGTGACTGGAAAATGCCTGACTGAGCTAACCGTGAGCTCCTGCCCTGTAAATTGAGCAGCACCTTTTTGCAGCCTAACAAGAATCTGTGAACATTTAAGTGTCTTACAGAATGGGGAAGTCAAGGTGGAAATGCCATTAATGTGCAGTAAACCTGTCATTCTCTTCCTGGTTCTCTGAATCCTGCTGAGGGCTGCCAGACCTGCACCTGAAATCATCATATGAAATGACAACAACACTGAAGACTCCTGTTTCTAAATGTGAGTACAAACATATCTGCTCACAACATTTGCAAAAGTACTTCCAATTATTTCTTGGTCTTGGGATTTTTTTAAATTTCCTCTTATTGCTAGTATTTTCATGAAAGCAACTCTTCCAAGCTCCACTTTAAGAGCAACAGAATCTCTACATTAAAGAATTCACAAAATCATTCCATGGGTTTTTTTTTGGCTATGTGCATATTAAGAATTGACAGATACACAGCCAGTGTATCTCATATACAACAAAAAACACAATGAACTTCCTATAACTGATCAAGAATTATTGAAAAGTTGCTGACTCTGCTTTTAGGATTTTAGTCATAGCTCTTTAAAATTAGCAAGCAGATTAATTTAAATTTAAAACAGCCTGTTTAATTTCTAAAATTAAACTTGTGCATATCATACGATTTTCTCCAAAACTTCTGCAATTAAAATTAACTCAGATAAATTATTACAAAGTTCTTGAAGTTTACCAGAAATTAAGACATAAAAAGGAACTTTATAGCTCTGAGAACAATGCAGTCAGTCATGTTGCTCTGCATTATTATTATTATCATTAAGTTAATCTGGAATACCCCATGTAGAGCAGTGTATCCCAAATATCTCCATTTGCAGGGCTGACAGCACCAACTTTGTGCTGAGCATCTGAACACCAAGAGCAACATTTTCCAGTTGGGTTTTTGCCACATTATCTCCCTTAAGATTGAAGTCACACAGCTAAAATTTCACAAGACGCTTTAAAAATTACCCACATCTTCAATGACCTTTGCTGCAAATAAAGAGCAATAAGGATGTGCAAACTGTAAAAAAAACCAAAACATGTGACTCTGACTCACATGTGAAACTTCTGTTGAGGCACAGATCCTTTTAATCTAGGTCTGAGCTCTTCAGTTTTGTACCACTTTGGGACACCAGTGGTGTTACACTACCTTTCCTTGCTCTTGATGTTCTGTTCTTGCTCACACCACGAGGATAATTCCCTGGTCTCAGAATAGCAAGTTATCAATATCAAATTCCAGTAACACAGATATCACTACCAGAAAATATTTCAGGTCACTATTTTGATGCAGAAGTGGTTAGTTCACTGCTATGCAAAAAAACTATTAACTGAAAACATGGTTGTTATTTTTCCAGATATGTATCCACACATTAAAGCCAAATTACATAATAAGATACTACAGAAATGAGTATCATTAGCAATTAGTTCATCAGTGACCCAAGAAGTAGAAAACAGCACCCTGGATAAAGGAGCAGAGGCAAAAACTTCTGCCTCCTTCTGATGTAATTTGAGCAGATTTCCCCCCTGCTCAGACACTGATGATATGGCCTGGACAGGTGCATCTTTGTTGGGAGCACAACCAACCAACAAAGACCCAAAAACTGAGAAGAACAACTATTTCTGCTTAGAGCAGCTAAGGGAGCAACCTGCAAATCAGCATCACAGTCAGGCAGGGCTAGGGCAGCTGGAAAGGTTTCTATCCAACAACATCCTCATCTCCCAGCTATTTTTAATGTTGGCAATCCTGAGGCATTATACCTCACTTGCAGAAGTGGTGCTGTCCTCTGAGCCTTCCCATCTTTCACTGTTACTCTGAGTTTGCACTGAGATATTTCACCTGTCACACAACCCTTGCTGAATCAGTTTCCCACAGAGAGATGTACTGAAAGATGTACTGAAATTTTTGAAATTAAAATCCCATGTCATTTAAGAGATATTGAACAAAAGCACCATCTCTTTTCATCCCATGCTCCCACCTCCATTCCAGGCAGAATTGCCAGGTATGAAAATCCTTTAGGTGTGTGCATGTGGCTTTTACCCTGCCACCAGTCATCCACAGCCCGTGCCTTGCCAGATACATCCTTCAAACTGCTGGTAGCAGTAGACTGCCTAAATGAGTGAGAACAGTCACAGGAGGAAGATTATCCACTAGGATCCTGATACTGTGTCAAATGTAAGCAGTATCCACTCTAAATTCTACCTACTTGACACAGATTTAGCCCATGAAACTGAATCCAAGGTAGTCTGTGACAAAAGGGATCTGTACAGATCATTCTTATAGGACACTAAAAATGTAATCGGATCTTTTCTTTAGATGCCTTTCTGTAGCTCTGATTCCATATTTTTTCCATATTTTTGCATTTAAAAACATTAAAAATGAGGAAGTACAATATGCCTGCAAATTATAAAAAATGTTCACAATCCAAACACAAGAGATTTCACCCCATGTCAGAAATCGAGCCCTCTCCTGTAGACAGAACTTGTAATGATGAAAGAGTGACATATAGATAGAATAACTTTTACATTTTTGTTCCTACTGATAGAATTATTAGAGAATTTTCCCACAACAAATTAGACTGAGTTATCCAGGTTAATCTGATTTACACTACCAGAAATTCACCAAAATTTGTGTTTTAATTATGATTGTATCCTCCCTTTTCCCTTCTCCTTCAGAACCATATATTTAATTTTCTCATTAAACAGAAGTCAACCTGTAGCCAGTTTGCAGTTTGGCTCCAGACAAGTAAAGAAGTTGTCACTCAGCTAGCATCACAGCAGGGTCTCCCCTCACTCTTACCTCAGCCTCACATGCCCCACACTCACTCCCCAACCCAGTTCTGTCAAAATGTTTTGGTCGGGTTTAAGAACCAACTACTGAAAGTGTTTAAGGTAACCCAGATCACTTTGACAGAACCAGGCTGGTGAACTCCATGTGCTGTAATGCTGGCAAAGCTGAGGAGGCATTCAATTGTGAAGCCTGGAAAAGAGGGCAAGGAAAATGCAGAGAATATGAATCACCTGCAGTGGAACAATGCACCTGGCTGCGAGTCAGTAACGTGCTAACTCATGGGCTGTGCTGCTCATCTTCTCCCAGATTTCAACAAACTACTGGAAATAAGCTTCTGGAATTGCCCAGCAAGCTTCCATGAGAACACAGGACACAGCAAGTCATCTGCACTGCTAACAGTGGGTAACAGATGGAATCCCATTTCGGCTCTTTTTGTTTTCCAGCTCTGCCTCCAGCTCCGGGTTGAAAGGAAGGAGTTTTGGTTTCTGTGTGGTGTTGAGAATGGCACTTGGCAGAGTGAATCCTCGATGGGAAAGGCTGGACACACAGCCAGACCAAACTTCACAGAGGCTGAAGACAAAGCTCTGGGTCAGGTTGTGCACACAACAACTGAACTGAAACCTCATTTTGTCTGAGGAACATCATTTGAGCATTAGGAAGAGTCCTGTGGGAGTGGAACCACTGCCAAATGGTTTTCCCAGTGAGCAGCTTGTTAAGATGAGTAAAAGTTAATAGCCAGTACTGAAAGGAAGCAAGCAGGACAGGCCAGAGCAGAGCTGAGAGAAAGGCCACTGGGGAGGGGCAGGTGGGGGCTGCTTTCACAGCCAAAAGAAAGCAGGGAGCAGGAGAAAAGCCCTTTGTGCTGCTCCATGGTGAGTCAGTCTAAAAGCCAGTTCTTTCACCCAGCATGCTCCCCTCACCTGTTTCATCCCTGCTACACGTACATGGCTCTGGAGTTGGAGGCAAGAGCTGGAAGACATGAAAATATAGCCCAAAAATATATTTTTTTCCACATTGAAAATAAAACACTGAAGCCATTGGAGTAGTAAACCGTGGAAATGTTCTTCTCATAAAATTCTAGCACATTCATTAAGCCCAGAGAGGCCTCCTCTCTGTAAGTGAGCTCCCACAGTCCTGCACAGAAGCTTTAAGTGGTTACACTGAGAGAGATTTGGAGTCAAACCTATAAAAACCCCTAATTAAACTCCAGAAGTAGATTAGACTCCATCACATAAGTAAAAAATACTGCTGGAAGACCAGGGTCAGTATGTGCAGCTAGGCAGGAAATGCTTCACAGAGTTCAGTGGGGCTGTTGAAAGGAGCCACTGGCATTCCTCAGTTCCACTGGCAGGGCAGGGAATAAAGAGAACATTTAAAAGAACAGGAATCACCTTACCACTTCTGGAAGCACCCTCTTCGCAAGATCGTGGATGGCTTTGATCACAATACATATAGATGACAGGAGGAATATGACACCCAAGATAACACAAGCCCTGGGGAAAAAATTGAGAAAAATACAAAGAAATGTTAAGAACATATTTAAGGTTGCCAACTCTCCCAGGGTAACAGAGGGGACAGAATATTAATAATAAAAAATGTCTTGAGGAGCTAAACATAGAGACTTAAATTAAAGAACAGAATGAAACATCCAGTTCCTCTCCCATTCTTAAAACCTGGATTATGTATGAGAAGACAGGGCATACCAGATGATGTTTCTTTCAGAGAGAAGGACCTGCCACTTCTGCTCCTGGTGATTTTTCATAGAGTCCTCTAGAGAAGCACTGTTGGTTTGGTTTGCTAGGATCTCCCATTAGAAATAAGGAAGGGAACTTCATTCTCCTTGCCAAGCAGGCAGAGATATTTGGTAAATGTGGCCAGTAGCATTACAGAACCTGGAACAGCTGTTTCCTTCCCTTTCCTCCCCAGTCAGGAGTGACATAACTCAGGAACTGGCCCACAAATGCTGGCTGACTCGCCTAAGGCCACTTGCTGAGCTTGACATAAGATTCATGAACCTCCTGCAAGGAAATGCTGACATTTATACCAAAAGCCAAGCTTTTCTATCATCCCCAACAGGCTTAAACCAACCCATCCCCAAATCTGTGAGCTGGAAACCATGGCTCACCCTTTTCCTGTGGCAATACTGTTGGATGCCCGTGGGATGCACCATCCCTTTCCCCCAGCACATTTTACTCCCTCCACACTTCTGAGGAAGACAGGCAAACACTCCCTAAGGGAATGTCCTGAGCACTGGCTGGATTTTGTTCTCACATAAGCCAGAGAGTTTGGGGTTATCTCTGTGAACTTGCCAACCACCCAAGTCTAACAGCAAATATTTTGCATATTTGTCAGCAGATACACAACTACTTCAGCAATCTTGATCTGCTTCTCTTATTCTCCAGCTCAGTTTTACTGTGGCAAAAGAATTCCCATCCACCTACTTACCCAGAAATAGCTAAAGTAGATAGAAGAAAAGGAAGATGATAACAACAGTGACAAGAGTATTAATAGCAGACAGAGATGCAGTCTGAGGTTTGAATCAGTATTCAGTAGTCATATTTAGCAAGCCTAGCTTCTCCTTTATATGCTGGCTTTTGGAATCCACAGCCATGCAAAATTCATGAGTGTAGTACTTTGAGAAAAAAAAAATACATGTTTTTTGTCTTCTTGAGTGTATAGATTTATCTGCAAAACCATTAAAACACAACATTGCACAGTGTCTTCTTTTAAATTCATTTGCTAGAAAGAAATAATTTCTAACTGGACTACAAATAATGCAAAATTCAACTACAAATGTAAAAAATAGCAAACCTCCCAAAATTAATCTGAGAAACTGTAGTACATAATAAACAGGTTGGTTGTTGTAAGCACGCTCTACTTTCACTGTACTAGAGCACAAAAGTTTTAATACAAGCCAGCTCACTTCCATCTGCTAACAACCACTGCTGTGTAACAAAAGAGTGTTTTCAACTGCACACCAAAGGTGTTAGTGCCAAGGTGCTTGGCAAATGCCATTTCATTAATAACATTCCATTAAATTACATGAGCAAACTCCCCTTTCTAAACAGATTTAAATCAACTCAGAGGTACCCATAAAAACTAGTGAAAGAGGAGTTATTCAGAAGTGAGGACAGGCTGATAACATAGAGAAGAATTTGAAGACAGCCCTGATAGCTTTGTCCTAACCCTTGACTTGCACCTCCAGCACCTATTGAAGATTTTGTCCTTATTTTACAGCCATTTCTACCTGAGTGAGTGTCAGAGGTTCCCTCTAAGGAACTACTAAATAATTATAGTTATAACTGATCCATAAAACAAAATAATTGATTGCTACAAGTTTGACAGAAAAGCTCTAATGAAGAATGCATGAATCTGGAATCTCCTCCAGTCTCACGTAATTTATGGCTTCTAAAAAGAAGGAGGAAGAGAGAAAATTTAGTCAAAACATTTTAAAACCTAATGGAAAATCTTTATTTGGTTTTATGAAACAATAAGCTTTTTGTAATCTTTCAGAATGTAGTATAGTTTGAAGAATAAAAGACTAATTCATAAAGGACAAGGTGAGGGCATCTCTCTGATATTCTTTTAATATCTGAGCTTTTAACTCAACTACAGCTCAAACTTCCAAAGTTGTTTTTTTTTTTTTTCTTAGAGCAATGGCATTTGGAATGCAAGAGTAATTTAAACTACAAGAGAATTTAATATTACAGATTTAACAGTGAAACCACCAAGTCTTCTTTAGTTTGCTGTAGGTGTTGGTAGCTGATCATGATCTGCATGATCATTTCTTGATGTGTTTTGGTTATACTGCAGCCTCAGGCATTGAGAGTGAAATTATTTAGACTCTCAAAACCATCAAAGATTTCATACAGCTTTGGAGCTTTGGTCACTGCTAGTTCATTTCTAGTGGAATTCAGACACCTCTATAAATCCTGAAAACTAAAGCTTGATTCTGCGAGTGCTACATCTTGACAATTTTCAAAAGGCATTTTCTTGAAAGCAGTATTACAACCCACATATAACCCATTTATATTTATACAGCCCTATAAATACCTATTTTGTTTTACAGCAGCCTGGATATTTGCACTCACCCCATCAGAAGCAGATCAGTGTTAACTGCATTACAGTGCACACAGCTACACCTCACCTCTTCCATCACATATTCCCTGTGTGGAGCTCTAACAGACACAATTCCTCATTTTCATGACAAATTCTCACAACTCATAAGGAAACCACAAAAGGAAATCAATCACTGTAAAAGCATATCACGGCCTGATATTCTTTTCCTTAATCAAAAGTTTGTTGCTTTGCAGGAGTCAGTGGCTTTTAGGCAGGTACCTACGAAAAGCGCTGAGATTCAGGGGCTTCCATCTCCACAAACTCAATTTTCAAGCTGCTATTAGTAAGCTAGTACTTTTCCCCCTCATTTTATCATAAAATTAAATTCCTAAGGAAAGTCCAATGATCCAATTCATTTGCATTTAGCAGATGCAGCAGAACAGCCTCCTAATTTGTGGATTTAGCCTTAATTCTATCTTGTAGTTTGCAATTCTTGGTTACAATTCCCTACAGGAATAAGATTAAAATTCTGCAATGTTGCCAACATAGAATTAGGGATTAATCTCACTTTGATTTCTATAGTGATTGATCTTCAATATAATGGAGCAATTTTACCTTTAGCATGGTCTTGCCACACTAAACACCCTTTCCATGAGCTGACCACTTTCAGATAAAGAGGCTGCTCCTCCAGGTAAGCAGCAGTCAGATTGATGTAAGACTGCAGGTTTAGATTCTCTAATTCAATGTAGAATTGTTTGGTAACATTTTATAAAAAATAAATCAATAATAGTAATGAAATTACAAATATGTGCTGAGTAATGAGCTCTGCTATAAACCACCTCAAAAGTGATCTGGGAAAAGCTACACAAGGGTGACTGGAAATGGAGTTTTTTTAATATCAACTGACTGCTATAAAACAGCCAATGCAAGAACTTTCCCTTCTCAATTACCATCCCATTCTCTTTCTGGCAAATCTTTACAGCTGCACAGTACCAGCGAGGGTTTACAATGAAGCCCTTGGTAATCACTCCTCTCATGTCAATCTGCTCTCATGCAGCAAAGGAAGTACACCAGAATTAAGGATTCAGAAGAAATTAGTGATGCATATCAATACAATCTGCAAAAATGTGTTAACTTTCTCCTAGCAGCTCACAGAGGGTTGTTTTGGGGCAGTGAGGAGGGAAAAGGCTCTCATCAATTTGATGGTTTGGCTGTTACAGCCTGGAAACTATTTTACCACCACACTTCAAGTTCATTAAACTAATGCCTGAAACATGACAACACCACGTGGAATAAAAAGAAGTTTGTCAGTAGAAATCCAATTACTTCCCAATTCTACAATTTTCTTAACATGACAAAATCAAGATGCAATATTAAAACCCCAACTTTCTTGTCAAATATTGCACTATTCTCCCACCTGTTTCATTCATTGCAGCATTCCAGATTAGTTGACCTGTTTTGATTATATGGGTTATTTGGGGAGGGTGTTTATTATTTACCACAGTAAAGATGCTCACAGAACAACAGAAGAGTCCAGGATGGAAGGAACCTCCCACCTGGTCCAGCCTTTCACAGGAAAGGAAGCCCAGATGAGATTCTCTAGCACTCTGTCCAACTGCATCTTGAAAAATTCCCACAATGAGGACTCTGCCACATGCCTGGGGAGGCTGTTCCAGTGATTGATTGTTCTCACTGTAAAAACTTCCTTTCTGGTATCAAGATTACTTGCCTTATTCATGGAAAACATTTTGATCATTTCAGCTGAGCTATAGGGGTAAACATGACAAAATGAACTGGAAAAAAAATCATTGTATAAACCAGCAGGATTTGTATTCATATTCTTGAGATAGAAATTCTATTCTCACATTTGCAAAGCTGCCATCTAAACAAGCTTCAGTTCCTCATCCAATTGTCTGGCAGCCACGATGCTGTAAATAAAAGACAATACTTATAATTTCTACATTTATTTTGGTTGCCCTACAAGAGCTGGTTTACTCTATTTTAATTCTGCATTTCCTTGATTGTTAAGAATCTTTCCACGTTATATTTTCCTAAGAGAAATGAGATTTCCACCATGGATTAATAGTGGAACAGTTTCCCAAAGAGGCTGTGGAGCCTCCACCCTTGGAAGTTTTGGATGAAATTTTGGGTGAGCTATTCTGATCTCACAGCTCACCCTGCTCTGAGCAAGAGCCTGTGCCAGAGACCTGCAGAGGCCCCTTCCAACCTGCATTATCCTGCGAGCCTATTAATTTTTTATTCACAAAATCCTTAACTCTGCAGGCTCTGTCAAGATCTTTCAGTACTAATGACTCCTAATAGCCCACAGAAAAGGAAATGTTAAAATCTCTGCAGGCTGTTTTCACCACTGAAGTGGTGAAAAATATTACTTTGCAAGGAACTGTAACTTCACATTAAAATGAGCTGCAGGCCA